ATTCGAACCCGCCACCTTAGGTGTACGTGGCTGGCGCCTTAGCCGGTTGAGCTATAGGCGCCGAGCCAACAACCTATTCTTCTTGATAATACCCTATACTGATTGGTCATTGTCTGTATCATATGAGTCTTTGAAAAGTTTTAACTATTATCCCTGTCTAACCATGGGGGAGAAGTTTGGATTGAGATAGCAGAAATGGAGAAATAGTATGCTTCCTGTAGCAGAAATCACTGCCGTGCTTCTTCCTCCAGGCTCCTATCCTGGAGTCTTACAGTGGCTACAAGACTTCTGAGCTTCATCCATTGGTCATGCAGCTGAATCTCCTGCTGACTTTCTGTTCTTGTGATAGGCCGAAGACTGTGCATTTCAAGTATTCTCACCAGTAAGTACCATCCATGCCTTGGCTAAAATTGGGTTTGTGCTCATTTATGGGGAAGCCTTAAAACACCAGGCTCAGACTAGTCTACTTGAGAGAAAAGGATTCAGACAACTTTTGCCTTCCTTTCTACTCTAGGGTTAAAGCAAGATAGGGAACCAAGGGCTCTGTGTCCTGCTTATTTTATGCAGCCTGTTTGACTTTCGCCTATTTTACACTGAGCAGACCCCCTTCCTTTCACAGAGTCTTCTTTGAAGTTGCCAAAATACCCCCCCTGGACATGTTGAAGCTGGAGGAAATGTTGAACTGCTAATTATGAGGCTGAGGGCCTGGCACTCTGGCAGCAGCCACAGGGCCAGGCAGGCATGTTATTAAGCTATATTTATTCTGTGCTTGAATTTGTCTTTTGGTCACTTTTCTTCATTTTTCCACTTTTTTTGTGTTTTCCAAAAATGATAATGTTGTAAATATTTATTTTTTTATAATGAAAGAGAAAACATATATCGTCATATTTGACTAGAAATTTAATAAAAAAGTTAATGGTTGTTAAAATGGCTTACCTTCCCTTTTATTGCTCAGAAGCTCCATGCATTGCCCAGGAATTTTTTTTTCTTCCTTGTAAAGGCCGTGCTTCAGTGTCTGGCTTATCCGGTTTCTTCTGTTTGGATGCTTTCTTCTCATGGGAAGAGGAATTGAGCTAAGTGTGAACTAATAGATGGGTGTATAGAAGGAGTATTCTGGGCAGTGGTGCCCAGTCCAAGGAGAAAGACCCCTCCCTGACAGCAGACCTCTCTGTTCAGAGCTCATGCAACTAGTGGTGTAAGTTAATACCCATTGGTTTCTAATCTCAAGTTGCTTGCTTTCTTCTAGGTGTTGAAAAGGTTGGGATCCAGATTGTAACCCAAATGTAGCCCTAATTTGATAGTTAGATAGCTTTCTTGAGTCTAAATTTGAAAAAAATGTTTTAAGTAGTATGTTAAAATCATTTTTGGTCCTTATCTTCTGCCAAGAGAAGAAATTTCTATCTGTGAAATCAGCAAGGTGTCCCATAATGCAAGCATCAACCACTTGCCTGATCTTTAATTCATACAGCCTTAAGAGGTTGTGCTGTCTTTCTCTGTCCTAACTTGGGGGGATTTGTAGTGGGACAGTTTATTTAAGTTTGTTAGCAGAGGAGTTGAACATCCTCTCTCTATACCATTGCGTCAAACCTACCTCTCAAATAATGTCTGCCACAGTAGAAGACCTTCAGGATTTCACTCTATTATGGTAGCTGGCAACGGCCCTGGTTGGCCTAGGGTCCTATACTACCACTTGCAAATATTTTGAGTATCCGTCCTATAGTTAGAAATCTGGTGGAAGGGTCAATGAAGAAGTTATAGGAAAATGCCTCTCTGGTTCCCCCTCCAGCTTGTTTTGACTTGGAGACCAGACATCATTAGGTTCCTTCCTGCTCCATTCCACTGTGTTGCAAGATTACTAAAGGGTACAACTGGAGAGGTTCAGGCTGCTTGGCAGTGCTTTTTCTGGCATAGCCAACTTTGTATAAATGTGCTAAGAGGACTGGGCTGGAAGCCATTTTGTAAAATCTCCAGGCTCACTAAAAAGAGTGTCTTGTGCCCACTTTTAAATTTTGGAACTTCACATCAAGGGAAAAAAAATTAACTAGTTGTATTATTTTTTCCTTTTTGTCTAGCCCTGTTCTTTAGAGATGCTAATTAAACCAGCAGTCATTTTTGTTGTCATTGCAAATGCCTCAAAATTTATTTTACATTCATCACTACTTCTAAATTAAGAGAACTATTTGAACTGGATTTTGTTATTTAGTGCCTTGTGAAGTACATCTATATATTTATCAAGAATTTGTTTTTATATTTTGATGGCTCTAGTTCATTATAACTTGGCTTTCCTTGTAACCTTATATATTTTTAACAGTTTGTTGAGATATAATTCACATACTACACAATTCACCCATTTAAAGTGTATAATTTAATTGTTTTTAGTAGATTCACAGAATTGTGCAACCATCACCATAATCAAATTTGGAAGATTTTCATCACCTCAAAAAAGAAACCCCAAACCCATTAGCAGTCAGCCCCCATCCTTCCTACCTCTGTGAGCCCTAGGCAACCACTAATTTACTTTCTATCTCTATAGTTTTGCCTATTCCAGACATGTCATATAAATTAAATCATACAATGTGTTGCTTTCTCTGGCTTTTTTCACTTAGCATAATGTTTCCAGTGGTCATCTGTGTTGTCATAGGTACCAGTACTTCATTTTCTTTTATTGCTGAATAATTTTCCATTGTATAGACATACATTTGTTTATTCAGTCACCAGTTGGTGGAAATTTTGGTTAATTCTACTTTTTGGCTATTGGGAATAATTCTGCTAGAATATTCATGTGTTTTGTAGACTTCTGTTTTCATTTCTCTCAGGTACATACTTAAGAGTGGAATTGCTGGATCATATGATAAATCTATGTTTAACCATTTGATTAATTGCCAGATTGTTCTAAGTGGCCGTACCATTTTATATTCTCATAGGCAGTGTTTGAGGGTTCTAATTTCTCCACATCCTCTGCAACACTTGTTTTTATCTGTCTTTTTGATTATAGCCATCCTAGTAGGTGTGAAGTGGTATCGTATTGTGATTTTGATGTGTATTTCCCTACAAACATATTTCTTTTCACCTGTGTCAAGTATCTTTATTTTCTGTCTTAGAGAATGAACTAACCCACCTCCTATCCAAGGTAATTCATCTACCTTTAGATTTTGATCCATCAATTTTCCTTACTCTTTTTAGCCCTCTTCCTGCTTTTCACTGCCACCATTTCCTGTGCTTTCAGTCTCTTCTTTTTTTCTAGTATTTTCTTCTACTTTAAAAACATGATTAAATCTCTCTTGCCACACCCACATTGAATGAAAAACAAAACAAAACACTGTCTGCATCACCTTCCTATCTGCTGTCTAGTTCATCTCTTCTTATTAAACTTCTTTAAAAAAGTATGTTGACTCAGGGTTTCTACTTATGTTCCATTCAGTCTTTGCCCCATTGTAATTGAGCTTTTGCCTTCTAGCACTTCACTGAAGCCTTTGCTGAAGCCATCGATAATTTTCTTTTTTTTCTTTTTTTTTTTTGAGACAGAGCCTCAAGCTGTTGCCCTGGGTAGAGTGCCATGGCACCACAGCTCACAACAACCTCTAACTCTTGGGCTCAAGCGAGTCTCCTGCCTCCACCTCCCAAGTAGCTGGGACTACAGGTGCCTGCCACGATGCCCAGCTATTTTTTGTTTGTTTTTTTGTTTGAAGCCGTCATTGTTGTTTGGCGGCCCGGGCTGGATTCGAACCCACCAGCTCAGGTGTATGTGGCTGGTGCCTTAGCCACTTGAGCCACAGGTGCTGAGCCATCCATCAATAATTTTCTAGTGGACAAATCCAGTAGATAGCTTTGTTTCGCTGGACTACTTTTGCTCCTTTAACCCTGGTGTCTTTTTAATCTTTCTTTAAACTCTGTACTCTTGGTTTCTGGGCCACTGGATTTTTCTGATTTCTTATCTTTTAACTAACTTTCTCTATCTTCTTTGTAGGCTATTTTTCTACTGTCTGCCCCTCAAAATTTATGTTCCCTTAGTTTTTAGCTTTGGCTTTCCTTGGGTGATCTCAGCTACTCTTATAACTTCAAGCCATTAACTATAGAGAGTTAGTCTTCAACCCAAATCCATGACTCATATTTCTGCTCTGTTGGCTATTTTCATCTGAATGTTGCACAGTTACCTCAAACTGAACATATCCAAAGCGGAATTTTTTTTTTTTTTTGAGACAGAGCCTCAAGCTGTCCCCCTGGGTAGAGGGCCGTGGCATCACAGCTCACAGCAACCTCCAACTCCTGGGCTCAAGCGAGTCCCCTGCCTCCGTCTCCCAAGTAGCTGGGACCACAGGCGCCCGCCACAACGCCCGGCTATTTTTTGGTTGCAGCCGTCATTGTTGTTTGGCGGGTCCGGGCTGGGGACTCTTACCCGCCACCTTAGGTGTACGTGGCTGGCGCCCTAGCCGGTTGAGCCATAGGCGCCGAGCCCAAAGCTGAATTTTTTATACTCTTTATCTCTTCTATCTCGATCACCTTCCATCTACCTAGTCACCCAAACCAGATACTCAAGGATTCATCTAGACTCTTTTCCCTTCCTAACAATCAATTGTTCTATCATACTGATTTTATTTTTAACCTTTTATCCCTAACCATTGGCCACTCATGTCTTAGCCTTACATGTTTTAATTATGGCTAAGAGTGTGACCTCATGAAATTTTGCTGATTTTATTTCTCCAAATTTTCTTCAATTGGTATTCTCTTCATATTCTTTTCTACCACTTTCCAGGTTTGAGTTCTCATCTACTGCCTGGATTGTTATGAAAATCCTATCTTTAATCTTGTTCCCTTCAAATTCACTTACCATATAACTACTAGAATGATTTCATTAAAATTCAATTTTAGGGCGTGGTGCCCATAGCTCAGTGGGTAGGGTGTTGGCCACATGCACCAGGGCTGGTGGGTTTGAACCCAGCTTGGGCCTGCTAAAACAAATGAAAATATCCAGGCATTGTGGTAGGTACCTGTAGTCCTAGCTACTTGGGAAGTTGAGAGAAGAGAATCACTTGAGCCCAGGAGTTTGAGGTTTCTGTGAGCTATGACATCACGACACTCTACCAAGGGTAACATAGTGAGACTTTGTCTTAATAAAAAAAAAAGAAAAAAAATTCAGTTTTAGGATTATAGTTCTGAGTAAGATGATTAAGGATTTGTCACCCTTTGTCTCCCATTGAACACAATCGTAAAACCTGGATAGAATACATGGCACAGGTATTTGAAAAGTAAGTGGCCGCAAGCAGATTGGAGAAAAACACCAGAATTTGAAGAAGCAATAAACTGGTGGTGAGTTTCCCACATTCTTTTTTCTTCTGGGATTTCCCAGACTGAACTTAATTCAGTCGGAAACCTGAAAGTGAGCACTGTGATACAGATGGAAAACTCCAAGAGAAGCTTCAGAGTTCTAGCTTGAGAAATGAGGGAAGGAATTCCTAAAGCTCAGCAAGAAGAGGGAAATTCCTCTTCTTTTCCTTTTCCTTTTCTTTCCTTTTCCACTCTTCTCTCCCATCCCAATTCCCAGGCAGTCATGCAGTGTTAGCAACAGTGATAGCAATGGTAGCCTTCAGGAACTAATACTCTTGGGGGGGAACCTGTAATTTCTATTTGATGGAGCTTTGGCCCCAAGAAAGCAGAGCCACACACTCTTGCTCTTTATCTCCTATACTCC